TCTCTCTCTCTCTCGACCTTCCTTACCCTTTTCTCCACTACATCCACCCGCCCTCTCCCCCTCGCCAACGTACAAACGCAACCCAGCCTCCGTAAACCTCCACCACTGGTTCTACTTCTCTATACTGGACGATGGTGAACACGTTTTCAACCCTATTCGTTTCTCCTCGACCCTCGTGGTGCCCTCTTCTCACACTCTCTCTTTCTCTTTCTCTTTCATTCGCAAACCGACGACAAGGGTCCGTTCGAATAACAAGGATTACTGTGGGATTGTTCCGTATACCCGGACACCCAATCCGCACCTTTCTCCTTCCTCTCTGTTTTTCTTATTCTATTTTTCTTTTATTTTTTATTTATTTATTTATTTATTATTTTTTTTTTTTTTTTTTCTATTTTATATTTTTCTTTTCTCCTTTACCATAGATTATCCTTAAGAGTTAATTTCATTTGTCGAAGAATTCCGAAACAAAAGTTGTTTCTCGTTCCTAAGATAATTCTTAGAATTATTTAAAAGAAAAATCAATGTTTGTTTAGAAAAAAATGTTTATTTAGTTACTTATCAAATCGGATATGGAATGGAATCAGACATTTCGTATACAATGATTGTGCTATTTTAATAGAATTTTAAATCATTGAACGTATAAATAAAAAGATTCATTGATTAATATTGGAAATTAGTCGTCATCATTTTTATTCCCACACCTTTATTATTCACCTATGCATACATCGTCGTAATTCTTTATTAATGGTAATCACAATGTTTTCAAATTATTTTTGTGACTGTAAAAGAAATGTTTGTTGGAAATATTTGTATGCATACATACAATGTGCATATTGTTCTATGAAAATCATTGATTTTTTGCTTGTTATCCGTCCATCGTTATTCGAGTTGCGTAATGTTGGATGTATTTAGTATTTGTTTCTCGCAAATTTATACGCTTACGTAGATGTCTTTTAATAAATAAATAAAAAAAAAAAAAAAAAAAAAAAAAATAGTGGCGACGGAAATGACAGAGAAGATCAAGAATATCGAATCGTAGGGCAATCAGAAAACAAAGACTGATTGTCAATCAATATCAACTATTAATCATCGCCATTTCTTTTACACTATTATTATCTACCATCGTGATAAGTCAATGATAAATTCTTACCGACTGGGAGAAAACTGTATTACCGATAGTAGCGATTTAATCGATAATTTGCTATTAATGAATGGATATGTTTGTTTGTTTGTTTATTTATTACGAAAAAAGAAAAAAAAAAGAAAAAAAAGAAAAAAGAAAAAAAAAGAAAAAAAAAGAAAAAAAAAAGAAAATGAAAGAAAGAAAATGAAAATGAAAATGAAAATGATTAATAATAATCGGATAACATGGATCGAAAACAATTTCAAGAGGAAAGACAAGACGAACTTGATAACGGGATATATAAGCTACGCTCGACTTCCGTTAAACCGAACAAAATTCTAAAGCGAGTGCATATTTTGTTCTCACTCTCTCTTTCTCTCTCTCTCTCTCTTTCTGGTATAAATACACGCGTCGTTTTCGTTATCTTATCTATGACACGTTTTACTACAACGACGACGAATTGCTCGCTATAAATTTCTTGCTCATTTATAAAGATGAATAATGTATATGTCACACATACATACACACACACATATATATATATATATAAATATACTCACACACACAAAATGCATTACATTGTTTATTATCGATTATCTTCAACGTAAATAAGAATTAAAGAATAACAGAAATGTGGATAAAGCGAAGATAATAGCAACGTTAATTGACTTAAGAAAAGAGAGGTAAAAAGAAAAGAAAAGAAAAAGAAAAAAAGAAAAAATGAAAAGAAAAAAAAAGAAAAGAAAAGAAAGAATAAAAAAATCTTTCTCGTATCTTGATTTGATTTGACTGTGATTCCCAAGAAGATATCTCAACCCTTCGTCCGAGATAAACGATCGACTTTAGGGTTCAAGTTTCCTCTACGGGATGAGATCACGTAATCCTATCGATTCACGAATCCCATAATATGTATATACATATATATATATATATATATATATATATATATATGTTATTCCGTTTCGAAATATTTCGTTTGTATCCAAAACAAAACATCTAGGAAAAAAAAATACTTTTCTTCTTTTTTGCTCTTTTCATTTCGTAGAAAACAATAAACAATTTGTGA